AGGGTTTTCTTTGTGCTGTCCTTGCCTTCCAGGACTGGCCAAAGCTTTGTGAGCCGCTTCATGTCGGGGCTCAAGTGCTCCAAAACACCTGCGTTGAAAGATAATGTTAAGAATGTATTTGTTAGAGGAAAGTAACAGCTTAATAAATCACACAAGTATTACTGAAACCTGAAGAAATTGCAGTCTTTCAGCATTATGTCACAGGGAAACGTTCTTGTCAATTGCCTTCCAGGACTGGCCAAAGCTTTGTGAGCCGCTTCATGTCGGGGCTCAAGTGCTCCAAAACACCTGCGTTGAAAGATAATGTTAAGAATGTATTTGTTAGAGGAAAGTAACAGCTTAATAAATCACACAAGTATTACTGAAACCTGAAGAAATTGCAGTCTTTCAGCATTATGTCACAGGGAAACGTTCTTGTCAAATGTCAAGCCAGAAGGCAATTGCAGAAGGTAATTGAACTCGGGAATCCTGATTGCTCGGGTGTATTGTACGGTTAACTTGCATGTACCACTGTCCAATCTACAAAATAGCTGTTTTCCTCTAGGGAAGGACACTTGTAGGGTTGAGAACTGGAAATTGAACTGGTTAAAAAATAGAAATTGTTTTATATGTTGTGCTCAATTTTAATAGAAATTCTGTTAAAAAAATAGAACAACTTTTACAACTTTGTGACTTTATTGTGGTTTTGCAGTCACCCCTGGGAAACGGTAACGACGGCTGCTATGCAGAAATACCCAAACCCCATGAACCCCAGCGTGGTTGGAGTCGATGTCCTGCACAGACACATCGACCCTAGCGGGAAGCTGCACAGCCACAGACTCCTCAGCACAGAGTGGGGAATACCCTCCATTGTGAAATCGGTAAGTGTTGCATCGCAGAACATGAAAAGGATGCCAGAGGGAGGGGAACCTTGTAAACCAGGTGTTGTAATAGGGATGTATCATTTCATCATGTTAATGGTTTAAAGATATAAGCATTTACATACCAGGAAAGCTCAATAGCAGTACACATAGTGGCTTCCTGATAGCCAAAATTTGCTTAGATCTTAGATTGCTTCCATCTTAAAAATGAGATCTGCAACAACTGCAGTTTTAAACTAAACTCTAATTCTTGTTGTTTCAGTGTCTGTTCAATACAGTATCCAGTACTTAAGCATTTAAAGACACTAAAGAAATGGCAGTCAGTCAGCATAATTAATGTTTACCTGTCTTCTAGCTCATTGGCACGTGTAGAACAAAGACGTACGTTCAAGAGCACTCTGTTGTTGACCCAGTGAAAAAAACAATGGAGCTTAAATCCAGTAATGTAAGTAGCTGTGTTTGTGCAATTGAAGTAGATTACAGATTATAGTAATTCCTTGTAAACTGGAAAAGGAAAATAATCCTGAAAATTACTTGAAAATTGCATTAAAGCAATACAGGTTAAAGGTTTAAGTAGCGTGTTTATAGTTGATTGGTTCTGTTTTTCAGGAAGGAGTTACTAGCTTTTTGGAACTTGTCAGGACCAAAGCATCTGAACACACTGAAAGTGGGACAGGAGTAGTTTTGTGGCCAGAAAAGTAAATTTAAAAGCCATTTGGTGTACACTGTCACCGTTCCCTAATCATGTAACATTCTGCTCTTTGTACTGCTCCATCCGTCTGATCCCACTGTGGAAATGTTCTTACAAATGTGGTAGTGAATTGATTGGTAACTGAACCCAAAACATAAGGAAAAAGAACCAGATCAGCAAATGCTGAACTTGGAGGTTTCTCTGTCTTGTTCTACAACCCTAGTTCTTGCAGGAAAAGTACAGTGTTTAAATCAGATATAAACATCAGTTTTGAACGTGCAGTTTTATTTACTACTTTACCCTTGATTAAAATATTTAAGTAATCTTGTCTTGTATTCTACAGATTTCATTTACAAACCTAGTGTCAGTAGACGAGAGGCTTGTCTATAAACCACACCCTCACCAACCGGACAAGTAAGTACTGCTTTGCTCAGACATTGCCCTGAAGTAGTACAGACTTTGGCTTTGAAAATTTCCATGGTTTCCCTTGAACAGAAGATGAGGTTTACATCACCTCTGTCATGGAAACTTGACATTGCTTCTGCAGAGCACTGCTGGGAAACTCAGTGTCGTGCTCTGATGGAGTCCAATTCAGATCAGCTTTTCAGGGAGCTGTCCTGTGTCCTATCTGTAACTGTGTTTGTGTACCTCTTCAGTCATCAGCTCCTTATTTCTGATGTCGTTGTGAGCCTGAGCACAGAACCTGCACTGGAAGGCACATTTATCTGTCTTTACTCTATAATTTTGCAGGTTTGGGTTTTGGTGTTTGCTTTTTTGTTCATTTGGTTGGTTGTTTTTTTTTAAGGCAAGTTTAGCGCTTACTAAGTCACTACTGCTGGAACTGGTGATAATTCTGAAGGATCTTTCTAGGGATTTTAACATAAGAGGGCTTTTCTCATGACAGTCAGGAATGTTAAATCCCTGTTGTTGAAGGGGATGTATTAACACCGTTTGCCCAGTACACTTTCACTCTTAATCTGCTGTTTTCTTGCTGCTAAAGATGGAAATAGTTGAGGACCACAAAGGGACACTTAGACTTAATGGAGACTCTTGGTTTTTATTGTATGAGTAGAAGCATAACGTAGTTAAGCACTGTCGAAGTGGAGCAGGAAGTTGTGTGTTATACGACAAAGCTGATGAGAGAATGTACTTGTTGAGGAGAAATAAGTTTTTTTCAGCAATGAATTCTTGTTTAAACTATTTGGAATAATTCAGTTTCCTGCTCTCTGTTTCAGAACCATTTTGACACAAGAAGCAATAATATCTGTGAAAGGTGTCAGTCTCAGCAGTTACCTAGAAGGGCTAATGGCAAACACAATTTCTTCCAATGCTAATAAAGTAAGTATGGGTCTTGTGCAAAAATGTGTGACCACTGGCTAAATGACAAAGGGAATAAAAATACCCATTTTTACTCTTTGGCCTTATCAACAATCTTGGACAGGGTCCACATAGTTCTGCTGGCTTTACTGTAGAGACCGAATGCTCAGCTTGTTGAACTACCTAATCTTTTTTTCTTTCTTTTTCTTTTTTTTCCGCCCCTTTTATAAATGAAGATAATAAATTATTATTGGCAAAGCTCTCTGAATCTTACCTGGAAAAAAATCTCCACTCCCTTAATAGTCTGGCATTGGCAAGCTTTGGCTGCCTGCTTGATGCCATCTATTAGTTTTTGCTGTCGAAAAAGCATGTGCATCCAGATAGATCTGAAGTAGTTCTGTGGGAGTAATAAAGTGGTGGTTGAGTTGAGAGTCTGTCCTCTGGGAATCCAAAAATGCGTTGAATTCAGCCTCAAGAATAACAAAACAATTCGGATAAAACATCTTTTGTGGTTCATAATGCGAGCACTGCTAACATAAGGAATTTTTTCATTAAATGTAAGGCAGCACGTGTTCCTGCAGTACTCTGCTTATTGAAGTAGAATTAGCACAGAACCCTGTATTTCTGTATCTTTTCTTCCTTTTCAACTATTGTGTCTTTAGTAATTTTCAGTAAGACAGGGTTTAACTTATTTACTAAGGCTTATGCACTGATAAACTTTTCTTTAACTGTAGGGCCGTGAAGCACTGGAATGGGTAATTAATAGACTGAATGCTGAAATTGAAGAGTTTGCAGCTTCTGCAAGAGGAACCATGAGGAATTCAATGGCAGCAGCAGCATTTGTAGAGAAATGATAATAAAAATCCCTGTATTACTAATGAGGTTTAACAATCTGAAGCTTCTCTCCAAACCTAAATACAAGTATCCTTTGTTATTTAAAGGCGTACTTGTGTATTAGGCATGTTTCAAATTTAATTTGGAGAAGAGCTGAATCCTTACTAATGAAGCTGATGTACAAAGCCTAGTTAATATATTGGTTCAGCTGGACCAAATTTTGGTTACAGATGGAGAAATAATTTTTCAAGTATAGTTCCTGTATTTACATGGACACTAACTTATAATATTTTCAGATACGAAATAGCCTCATTTAGTGATGAGGCTGCATATGGTGGAGGAAACTGGCATGTTAAGTTAACTTCTGTGGAATTTTTATTTCTGTGTGACTTATGGACTACCTCTTTTGGGACCAAGCCCAAAATTAATCAGAATGGTTCCAGCATTGTTCTGTTTGTTGATTTTTGATAGTTGTGGGATACAACTTGGTTTACTAGAACATTTATTACTTGATGCTTGACATACAAAAGAATGTAGTAAATATCTTTTTATAAGCTTTTTAACTTGTTTGACTGGCTGAACTAACATGGTACTCAAATTGTTTTTCAGTCAATATAGGTAAAACATTAAAAGTCTCTTACCTACTAAGACCTAAATTGATTCCTAAATGGGACATTAATGAACTGGACAAGCAATAATTTAAAATTTCATCTTAAACCTCTCCATTTCTAAAAGCCCATTAAATAAAGGGGTGCAATGTGCAGAGCCTTAAAATCTTGCAAGCTTCTAGGACATCTAAGAATAGTAGGTATTTACTTTAAAATGTCAAAAAACCACTTAAAAGACTAAAAGAACCTTTATGGAGTTTACTAAAGAGATACCTAAGCATAAGAGGAAGTAATATTAAAGAATATCCACGATATAATCATTAGTTTGATCATGCTCCAAAAATAACCTGTTACCTCAACTGAATATTGTGTTGTCCTTTAATTTAAACAGTGCCCTAAGTTCCAGAAGTTCCTTTACCTTTTGAACTAATTTTCTCACAATGCAGAGCTCTTTAAATTTAAACCTTGAGAATAAAAGGTTTTCTACAGTTTGTGTTTGTTTCTTGGTACTCGCTGTAAATTCTTGGTACTGTCACCAGTCATTAGCTGTGGGAATGTAAAGGTCAGCCCTTGATGTCCTTCCTTACGTGGTACACCAGTCTGCTGGTGGTACTGTTGGCTTCAG